TTACTCTTCTGTCTGTCGTTCGGACTGTCGTTCGGACTGTTCTTTGATCTGTTTTAACTCCTCTGTCTGTCGTTCGGACTGTCGTTCAGACTGTTCTTTGATCTGTTTTAAATCCTCTGTCTGTCGTTCGGACTGTCGTTCGGACTGTTCTTTGATCTGTTTTATTTCAGTTGACATACTAAGCAGAAGTTCCATCATTTTGGCGGTTGTAAACGTGCCTGTGCTAATTTCATTGTCTTCGTCAGCACCATCAAACTTGAATTCGTCTGGGTTCTTACCTTCGTCAATGAGAGCTTCTCTCAGACGTGCAACTAGTACTTCTTTGTTGCCACTTGTGACAAGGCTTCGTTTCTGTAGTTCTTCTCGTAGTTGAACTACGTTCAACCCACACAGTTTTGACATCGTGTTCTTTTTCTACGAGTAGTAATTCGCTGGTTGAAGATCCCACTTCTGACACCAATGTTATAATACTCGCTGTCGTAACCGGTTTACGATGCGACGGGTTCAAATCTTCGATTGAATAAAATACTCCAAACAGTTATTAAACTTTATTTACAGATGAAATCAACTATTATTAGTTATTAAACTTTATTTACAGAAGAAATCAACTAATCGTTTATTTCCAGTAAATTCGCACTAACGCAACAATTAACTTTTAAATCTTTCAAAATCTATCGCTATGACAACGTCAACAAACAATTCAAATATCGCTTTAAATAATTCACCGAATCGCTATTCACAAAATCACGAATTTCACTAATCACGAATATCACCAATCACGAATATCACTAATCACGAATATCCCAATCACGAATATCACCAATCACGAATATCACCAATCCCAAATATCTTGCGACGTGCGCAAGCGTCGTTTCTAGATTCTTCCCGATGGTCCGATTCCAGCATACTCTAGAACGTTCCAGTCACTAGAACATTCTAGAATACGCTAGAATCTAGTGCGTTCGGTAGCACGGTTATAACAATATTCTCATATATTTGATTTTTTGCTTTCCATTTTCAGATTTTTTTCTTGTTTAAGTAACATCAATCTGTTTTAATTATTATCAATTATGGAATAAATTTGATGAATAAGATGAAAAATACCCGACTTTGGGAGAAAATTTCCGACTACAAATCTGACATTCTATTCAGAACCCGACTCCTTGCCCAAACTCCCTTCTCCGACTAAACCTATTAAATAAAATTATTTGAATGCGTCAAAATGATTTTCAAAGTTCCCGTTTAAGAAATTAACCTCGTTCTTTTTTGTCTCAGTTGACTGGCCATACAATGTGAAAGATAACAATTTAAAAAAATGCTTGTTATTGTTTAAAATAAAAAACCTCTTTGTTTGTTTTTAATATAATTGTCTATTAAAGAAACGTTAATTGAAATATTAGAAGACACGTTAGTCGACATAAAGCGAAAAGCATACACGTGCAAGTTAGTCAAGTTAGCAATAATATAAGATTGTCTGAAAATATGGAGTCATAAATATATTGAAACATATATAATATACATATATATAATTTCAATACTTTCCCTTGACATTAGTCCCATATGTCCACACAGGAGTTTCAGTCTGACTCTGTCCAGTGGCTTTGCCATCACATCAGCGACTTGATCACTTGTTGAAATTTGTGTGATATCAACCGTTCCATCTTGAATTTTTTCTCTAATAAAAAAGTTCTTCAAGTCAATGTGTTTTGTTCGCCGAAGAAATTGTGGGTTCTGAGCTAATTTGACTGCAGCACCGTTGTCAACTTGCAAGATTGGCACATCTTTCAAATCAACCTGTAATGATTTGAATAATCTTTGAAGCCAAATTATTTCTTTGACAGCCTCTATCGCAGCGATGATCTCAGCCTCTGTTGTAGATGTTGCAACTATGGCCTGTCGTTGAATAATCCATGATATTATGCCTCCTGCATATATCACTGCAATACCTGTGGTCGAACGTCCAGTCTTTCTACAGCCTCCAAAATCTGAATAACTGAAACACAGTAAAACTCCTTTTGTACTGTCTGATCTGTACACAACGCTCTGATCGATTGTTCCTGCTAAGTATCTAAGCACTCGTTTTGCTTTTATTATATCTCCTGGTGTTGGGTTCTCGAGGGAGCGTGATAAATAGCTAATGCTGTATGCAATGTCTGGCCTTGTACCTAACATCAGGTACATTAATGCTCCAACTAGTTGTTGAAAAGGGTATTCTGAACCTGCTATGTCTGATTGATTATTATCATTTTCTTTAAGCATTGGGGTGTGAACTGGTTTACATTCTTCAAATCTGAAAAGTTTAAAAATTTTCCTTGCAAAACCAGATTGACAAACTTTTATGCTTCCATCCAATAGAGTTTCTATTTGAAGACCTAGAAAATATGTTGCAGATTTAACTGTAACCTGAAATTTCAGCTTCAATTTTCCAATGAATAGATCTAAATCTTCTGTGTTGCTAGCGGCTACCAGTCCATCACCAACATACAATGCTAACATCATAATGTTTTCATTCTGTTTTTTAACATACATACATGGATCCGCTTCACTCGACTTAAAGCCACATTCAAAAAGAAACTTGCCAAAGCATTGATTCCAACAACGAGGTGCTTGCTTTAGACCATACAGACTTTTGAGCAATCGACAAACTTTATTTGAGCCATCATTATATCCTTCTGGTTGTTTGATGTGGATCACTTCATCAAGTTCACCATACAGGAATGCAGTTGATACATCAAATTGAAGAAGATGCAGTTTTTCACTTGCTGCAATACTTAGTACAGAGCGAACTGTAGTCAACTTTACTACTGGACTAAACGTCTGATTGTAATCTACATTTTGTTGTTGTGAAAATCATTTTGCCACAAGTCTTGCCTTGTATCTATCTACAAGGTTTTTATTTTGTAAAACCATTTACATGGAATAATTTTAGCTCCTCTGGGTAGCTCACAAAGTTCCCAAGCTCTATTTTTGTTTGATGAATTAATTTCATTATTCATGGCATCATTCCAATATTTACTTTCCCTGCTTTGAATGGCTACTTCGTATGTATCTGGTTCATGTACATCTAATAAATATGTCTCAGCCTGCATCACATAATCATCTAACTTCTTAGGTTTCTGCAAGCTTGACCTATCTCTGAGTTGAACTTTAACTGAATTATCTATAATCTTCTCAGTGTCATCTGTAATTTCTTGTTTTGAATCATCATTTCTACTACTAGAGTCATTTTCTGATTTGCAATTGATTTGATGATCTGTTGTAAAATCTTTTTGAGTGTGATGTTCAAATGATGTTGTACATTTCATAGGTTTTTCTTGGAAAACTACATCTCTTGAGAATATCATTTTATATTGATTTTTGAGCCATATACGATAGCGTTCGTCACCATCGTAACCAACAAGGTAACCTTTTATGGCTTTCTTATCCATTTTTTGACGTTTTTGATCAGGTATGTGAACAAAACATGTAGAGCCAATTATTCTCAAATAGTTAGTTCTCGACTTTTTACCTGTCCAAATTTCAAATGGGCTTTTATCTTTAATCGACGACTTGCCTGTTCGATTAAGTAAATATACTGCAGTTGAACATAACTCAGCCCACATAGCGACTGGAAATTCAAAATCTGGATTTGAGTACTTCAATGTGTGTGCCATTTCTACTATTGTTCTGTTTTCACATTCACTACCACCATTTTGTTGACGTGTATATGCTGCTGTTAGTCTTTGCGTGATTCCATGGCTGTGCAGGATGTTTTGAACTTCTTCGTTGTCAAACTCACCCCCATTGTCACTCAAAAATTCTTTTACTTTATGACCTTGAGTCGCTGCTTGAGACAAAATATTTTGTAGTGCCTGTTTCACTTCATTTTTGTGTCTAAGAAAAGAAATGAACCTCATTTTGCTGTAATGATCTTTGAAAACAACAAAATATCGTTTACTATTAAATGATTCTGTACTGAAAGGACCACAAACATCTGCTGATAGTAGTTCACCTGGTTTATTGGTTGCATTTCTCTTGCCAAATTTTAACCGATGTGCTTTACCATAGAGACATGGTTCACACAAATCCTTGTCAAGATGAACTTTAATGTTTAACTCCTTTTCTATAACATTCTTTATGTGACTTTTATCTTTGATGACCAAAACGTTCATGGTAGAGCTGCACTATTGAATTTTCACTGACTACATTCACTTCAGCCAGTGTATCTGGAGTTAATGAAATCAAGTTTGTCTCATACAAGGAACCATTTACTCGTCTTGTCCCTTGTACTACCACTCGGTTCTTTATACTGAGTTGACATTTGGTTGCATAAGATTCAAACTTGCTGTTTTTTGAATTTTTATCTTGTGCGGCTAATATGGAAAACAGGTTTCTACCTATATTTGGAACATACCAGACATCTGAGAGTTTTATATACTGTTGTTTGTTATTTACTAATGACGGCATATTTATTTCGCCTTTACCCACAGCAGCAAGAACTTCTTTTCCTGCAGCTTGAACAGAACATGGTGCGACAAACTTCTCAAAAGTAACAAAATTATCTGGATTGTTCGTTAGGTTCTTTGTTGCTCCATTGTCAATATACCACTTAGTGTTGTCTCTCAGTGTTTGATTACTGGCTGACGTGCACAAAACTACATTTGATGTTTCATCATATGCTTTTCTTGGTGTCGCTGAAGCATTTTTGGAATTTTTAGAAGGTCTTCCATCATTGACCCACTTTCTACATTGCTTAACCCAGTGTCCAGGTTTATGGCAATAGTTGCAATTACCAACTGGTTTTGTCCTTTTAGTGAAATCTCTTGATTTGTTGAAACTTGGCTTTCCAACATTTACAACTAAGGCGTTCTGCCTTGATGATTTATCGATTGTGTCGAAAGTCTTTATTTCTCTTTCGAAAGCACAGAGATGAGTAATTAAATCATCTATCGACTGCTTTTCTTCACCTAGCATTAGCCAACTTGATTTGAAGTTTTGGAAACTATTTGGGAGAATCTGCATTGCTTTGCATACTAATAGCAGCTCTGGTAGTTTATTTTCTCCTGATGCCTGAAGCCCACTGTTTAATTCGTTCCATAAAGTCTTCAATCTTGTAATTTGACAGGATACATCTACATCCGCTATCCAATTGAAATCGAAAAAATTGCTACAAACTTGGAACAGTTGGTTCTTAGTTGACGCTTCAATATTTCTTTTTAATTCCTCCCAAACCTCCCAAACTTCAAATGCTGTGTTCTTGTCCATTATCTTTTGGTATGTATCTTCTGTGACTGCATTCGCAATTACTGATTTGGCATAACTGTTTGCCTTTCTAAACAGATCCGATTTATTTTTAAAATCTTTTGTCTGTTGCTTTGTTTGATTTTCTAGTAATTCTGGTTTTGACAACTTCCCATCAATCACATCAAGTGCGCCCTCATGGTAGTCCATGAAATCTCGAACACGACGTTTCCAAATGGGCTAATCGGCTGCGCAACTTAACTGTTTTATTTGAAGCTTTGAGTCCATTTTGAAGGAAAAAAAAAATTGATGTTCTTGCTTCACGGATAGCTGGAAAAGTTCTTTTAGTCACGAATTGCAATCTCTTTTTTTTCAAAATAACTTTTTCTCTAAACAATTTATTAAGCGTTCTGGGCTCATAACCTGTTTAAAATAAAAAACCTCTTCGTTTGTTTTTAATATAATTGTTTATTAAAGAAACGTTAACTGAAATATTAGAAGACACGTTAGTCGACAAAAAGCGAAAAGCATACACGTGCAAGTTAGTCAAGTTAGCATTAATATAAGATTGTCTGAAACTATGGAAAGTCATAAATATATTGAAACATATATAATATACATATATATTATTTCAATAGTTATCAGTTTTATAGTAGATTGGAATATCTTCTTGTTGCTCAAGTTGTGATGTAGTTTAACATAATAACTCTAATTACTTTAAGTTAATTACGTTAAGCCCCAGGTAAAAATATTTGAATCCGTTTCCCTATCCGATTCCGGGTTTCGAATCTAAGAAAAATTTTGCAAGTTTTGCATCATAATTTTACTTATATCACTAATATAGAAAAGTAAAATTTTTGACTCCTACTCAAACTTCGGTTTATTTTCCACGAATTTCAAAAAAGACCGTCGGAGTCGGATGAAAATTATCCGACTTCGGAAGGAAATTTTCGACTCAGAATGGGATTTCCTACTCCGAATCCAACTTCCTACACCAACTCCACCGTACGTATACATAATTATTTTTGCATTTAATTATCTTGATTTTTCCTTGTTTAAGTGACTTCAATCTGTTTATCAATTTAAAATAAAATCTTAAAATTTTCGACTTTGAATCCGATTCCCTACTCGGATACCGCCGATTTGAAATCCGTACCAATTCATAATCAAAATCAAATTCATACTCCAATTCCCTACAATCAACTTGTCGAATCCGGTAAAAATTTCTGAATCCGTTACCCTATCCGACTCCGCCAAGTTGCTAGTACAAGACAATTTTTTAACTTTCGCATTATAATTTTACTTATATATCATTAATTAAAAAAATTCCTTACTATGATTCTACCAACTCCGAGTAAAAATATTTGATTCCGTCTTACTATGCAACTCCGGATTACGAGTCTGTCGGATTGCAAATCCTAATAATAAAAACTATTAATCCTCAATAATAAATATATAACACCACGAACCATGGTTTGTGCGGGCTATATAAGAGACTGCGATGACTATTCTGATAGGTATTCGGGTTGCTGATGAGTCCCCGGTAGGGACGAAACACGTGTCCAGCCTATCCAAACGAATGCTATTCTTTTCTTCTCTGGCTCACTGCTCTTCCCGGTTCGATGTTCTCATACATTAGCGCAACTGCAACAAATTGGTGACCACGAAGTGATCGAAGAAACCAGCAATGAGAGTTCCCACTTCTACGCGAATCTTTTTTCGAAACAACAACACTGGATTGATCCCAACAATTCAACCTCATCCATCACGTTCGCCAACACACACGCGACGATCTGGTGGGGGAGTATTGTTGGATTGCAAATCCAACAATACTAATAATACAAAAGATTGTCCAGCCTACCCAAAGAAATACTATTTTTTCTTCTCTCGCTCACTGCTCTTCCTGGTTTGGTGTTCTCAAACATTAGCGCAACCGCAACGAGTCTGACAAAAATTATTCAATTTTTCTATCATAAATATTTTTATATACCACTAGTAAAGTAAAGTAATTACTCCAACTCCCATTTAATGTTCGGTTTATTTTCTACAAATTTTAGAAAAGACTGTTGGATTCTGATAAAAAAATATCCGACTCGGAGAGAAAATTTCTGACTCAGGTTCCGACTTACTACTCCAAAAACGACTCTCTACTCCGACTTTGTCGATCAGATATCAATATTTTGATTGCGTCAAAATATTATTCAAAGTTTTTGTTCACGATATAGACCTCGTTATTTTTAAACTGAATTATTGACCGGGCTACCTTGTAAAAAATAACAAATTAAAAAATGCTCGTTTTCAGTTTTTTGGTAGATTGAAATATCTTTTGGTCCCTCGTGTTGTGACGTATCTTAAACGTAATAACTTTAATTAATATGTTAATTACGTTAAGCTTCGTTTGTGAGCGGGGCATACAATGCCTGCCGTATCGACCACCTATCCAGTAGGGCCAATATTTGATTTTTGCATTCAGTTTTCAAGATTTTTCTTTTGTTTAAGTGACTTCAATCTGTTTAAAATAAATTCAACGTAAAATTTCTGACTCTAAATCCGACTCCCCACTCCGACTCCGCCGACTTCGAATCCAATTTCCTACTCCGATTCCTTACTATGACTCCGCCGAGTAAAATCTTGGTTCCGAGTCATTAAAAAATAATACAATTTTCGCATCATAATTTTACTTATAATAACTAATAAAAAATTAGTAAATACTCCTACTCAATCTTTGGTTTCTGTTTTATGAAGGCTCTAGGCGTCGGATGAAAAATATCGGACTTCGAATTCGACTTCATACAACAACTCTGCCGACTTCTAATCTGAGTGAAGAAATTCATCTTCGAATCCGACTTCTAACTCCAATTCCGTCGACTCCAAATCCACCTCCTTACTCCGACTACCTACTCCTGACTACGGTTAAAAATTTCAGAATCCGTTTCCCAACTCAGATTTGATTATTTTTTTAAGTGACTTCAATCTGTTTAAATTATAAATTAAAATAAATTCAACGTAAAATTTCCAAATCCGACTCCGCCGGCTTTGGATCAAACTTCTTAGTCCGATACCCTACTATGACTCCACGGGTAAAAACATTTGAATCCGTCTCCCTATCTGACTCAGAGTTCCGAGTCTTTAAAAGATTTTACTTTAGGGCGGCCTGATGGTCTAGTGGTTAAGGTCGCCTGATGCTGTTTCGCAGTAAACGAGTTCGAAGATGACAAAGATCTCCGCCTATCACTCGTGTGTGATGTATCGTTTAGTGTATTCATATACGATGTTTGTGGCGTGTTATTGAATTTTTTGAACTTTTGAAGTGTAATTGATCTTTAATCTTTTTTAATCTTTAGCATCATTATTTTACTTATTATTAGTAATAAGAAAAAGTAAATACTCCTACTCAATCTTTGATTTATGTTTTAGGATAGCTCGCTACGTCGGATGAAAAATATTTGACTCCGAATTCGACTTCCTACTCTGATTCCGACTTCCTACACCGATTGCGCGGCCTCCACTTCCGACCCCTTTCACCGACTACCTATCTGGCTCCAGTGACTACCGGTGAAAATTTCCGAATCTATCTCCCTACTTCGACTAGATTATTTTCTTGTTAAAGTGACTTCAATCTGTTTTAATTATCAGTTTGAAATAAGTCAACGTAAAATTTTCAACTCCTAGACAGACTCCCTACCCGACTCCGTCGACTTTGAATTCATCTTTCTAGTTCGATTCCTAACTACGACTCCAGCAACTTCGTGTAAAGACGTTTAAATCCGCTACACTATTCAACTAAAAATATCCATCTCCGAATCCGACTTCCTACTCCGATTCCGCCGGCTCCAAATACGACTCCTTGACAACGGGTGAAAATTAAAATTTCCGAATTCGTCTCCCTATCTTGATTAGATATTTTTTCAGTGATTTTAATCTTCTTTAATTATCAATTTTGAAATGTTTCATAAAATTTTCGACTCTCTCTCTCTCTCTCTCTCTCTCTCTCTCTCTCTCTATATATATATATATATATATATATATATATATATATATATATATATATATATACTGTTTCTACAATGTTAATTCCTTGTTTATTTAAACAATTAGCAGACCATATAATTAGAATGTAATTAGTAGCAGACGGTATTAAGACGGTATAGGAATACCAAAAAAAGCTTTTTTGTTTATCAAGCTTAAATGTTCTATCATGCTTAAAATAAAAATTTTGGTTTTGAACTCTAGAAACTTGACAATGATTTACGATCTACCGTTAGAAAAATCGATAAATTAAATAGGAAGCTTACTAACGCAGAGCATGCTGTGATTTGTATCAATATAAATATATGCATGTGTGTGTATATCTGTGTGTAGATGTACATTCATGAGTGCTCTTACCGCGCTTTTTCAAAACGCTCAAAGCGCATCGACGCAAAACGATCTCATATGTCATGACATATGAGATCGACAAAAAAGGAAGAGAAAGACGAGATGGAGGATTGTTCTATACAGTCGAGCCGACAACGTCAAAGCCCCATGCATTAATAAGCAGTCGAAGGTCTTGTTCTGATAAGTTGATTGACGACTTGATAGTTATGCTTACGTTGGCGAAGGTTGTCTGTAGTAGTTTTGATTGGTGGTAGTAGAGGGTGGATGAGGTGAAAATGTTGAAAATCTGTAGTATAGCATAGCGCATCTCCAAAAACCGTGAATCACGTTCTTTATTTTCTGATCTGAAATTTGAGACTCTATCTCGTAAATCCATCGACCTTAACTGGCGTTCTTCCTCCGTTTCTGCTGATCTGGCAGTTGCAGCTCAATCACATAATTTCATCTATCTTGACTTGAATTCTTCTGTTTCTTTCTATCTGGAAGTTGCAGCTCGAGCATGTAGACAAATTTATCAACCCTTACTGGCGTTATTTCTCAGTTTATCAATCTGGTAGCAGCTTTATCACGCAATATTATTAACCTTAATTTGCGTTCTTCTTCCGTTTCTTTTTGTCTGGAAGTTGCAGTTCGATAACGCAATTTCATCAACCTTGACTGGCTTTCTCCTTCCGTCTGTACAGATGAATCCCGCATCTCTGTAAGCCGTAAATCACGTCCTTCTACTGATTTTCGGATCTTGTTACTGCTTTTCATTTTGTATCAGGCAATTTTCTACCAAGTGGACATTTTTTCGGTGGCATAATAGTAATAGTATTAAAAATACTTATAAGCTGGTGTAAACATATAGATATAAGCGAATGCAATGCAATGACGTCGTTTTCGTAATTTCAAAACAACAGGATGCGTTTTGAGAACAAAATTAACGAAAAAGGATACATATTTAGTTTTTGGACTCTGGGGCGAAAACCTGAAAATCAGGCAATAAAAATAAGAAATAATCTTGTGCCGACTACCTTAATTAAAACAAACATATTTGTTTGTTGTTTATAATTTCATTATTATTATTTAACTAGTTAGTATGGCTAGTATGAGGTTACATCGATGAACTCTCCAACACTGCGTTGGGAAGCGACTCAAAACTCATCATTGTAGGTGACTTCAATCAACTCGACCATCATTCCATTCTTCAAACAGGTCTACACCCTATATTCTGGGGTCCCACCCACCAAGGTCACAACCTTGACAAGATATATGGGATTAATGTAAACCTGGACATCACTCACACTTATTGGTCACACGTTTCAACACATCATCTTGGGGTGGTTGCTGCTCCTCCACCCCCACCAACTAATTCAACATGGAGAAACAACACCACAAGAAAAGTCATCTCATTTCGCCGTCCTCATCCTTCACAGAGTAGTGCCTGCCTTCAACATCTCAACAACATCGACTTCAATAATATCTTCGACTTCAACATCACCAACAACAACTATACTCTACCAGCAATTTTTAATAATAATATTATTAATTTTGATAATATTAAAAATAACAATGATAATAATAGTCCTACTAATTGTAATAATACTTGTAACAATAATAATAATATTAACAATGATGCCAATGATAATAATAATAACAATATTAACGATAATACGTTCATAACTAACTCTATTAACAATTTTTTGCAACACTGTTTTGATAAATTTTATAGAATTATCAACTCAACTTACGACACGTACTATTCAACACCAAACATCACGATCAGATCATCAGACTCTCCATTCATCAGCCCATTTATCAAATATCTACTTCGCCAAAAAAATAATTTCGTGAGATAAGGATCCATCCTAAAAGCCGCAGCAATCACCAAATACATCAACACACTCATCATCAATTTCAACTCAAAAACTTTCACTAACAGTAAGCGTGGAAGCAAAGCCATGTGTGACCAAGTCAAAAAGATTAGAGGCTCTGACAAATCATCCAACACGTCAACATCATAGCAAATTGATGCCAACACACTCAACACCCACTTTGCCTCAATGTCAACCAACTCGTCCTACAAAACTCCACCAACAAAAGCAACAACAATCAATAGTCGTCAACATCAACAATTTACCCCATACTCCGTCTTGCACATGCGAACGAAGTCCTGCCCCTCCGGTACAAGTCCAGACAGTCTACCAGCATGGTTCCTACAAATCATCGCTCCATTCATCTCCAGTACCTTATGTTCACTCTACAATCACTGCTTAAGATATTCATTTATCCCATCACAATAGAAATTCAGCACAATTCATCCAATTCTTAAAACAAAATACCCATCATCACCAATAGATTATCGCCCAATATTTATCCCCACATACTTTCACATATTCTAGAAAAATTCATCGTTGGGTCATTCATCTATCCATATTTCAACCATCAAACCACTATTGCAAGATCAGTTTGCATTTCGCCCTACAGGTTCATCAACATACGCCATCATCTCTCTTACTTCCACAATAACATCTTCCCTTAAAAATAATAATTATGTTCATCTTATTGCCCCCGACTTTTCTAAAGCTTTTGACACCCTCAATCACTTGTCACTTTCAAATAAGTTAGCCTCTCTTCCTCTACCCGACAACATTTACAATATTATAACAAATTTTCTTTCTAATAGGTGTCACTCTACTTTCTTTTGCTCTACTCTTTCATCTACTCTACCTATTAATTCTAGCGTAGTTCAAGGTTCTGTCTTTGGACCATCTACCTTTATCATCAATGCTTCTACACTCAAAACTTTTCATAGCTCTAATCACATCATCAAATACGCTGACGACACCTACCTTATCATCTCATCATCTAACACAAACACCATCCAATCAGAACTCGACTCATTAACTACATGGTCAAAACGATGCAACCTGTCACTTAATCTCAATAAATCATTTGAACTCATCATTCAAAATAGCCGTAAGAAGATAACATAATTACCTCCAGAACACCCATCAACCACTCGCACAGGTCAATTAAAAATATTAGTCATCCCATTCACCTCCATACTTAATGTAGCACATCATATCAATCACATCATCACAAAAGGCTTTCAAACATTTCACGCAGTCAAAGCACTCCGCTCACATGGTCTCAGAGGCATCAAATTATTCGAAATCACTGAAACACTCATAAACTCACGCATCAATTATGCAGCTCCATCCTGGTCTGGTTTTGCTACACAACAACAACTTCAGCAACTATCATCAAAAAACTTATCCGCTTCAACTATCTCCCTGCATCACATCCTACCGTCACTCATATATTCAACACACTCGATTCAAGACTGTTCAAGAAAGTAGAAAATAACAACAACCGCGTCATTCATCCTCTACTACCACCAATCAAAACTACAACACACAACCTCCGTCAGCGCAAACATAACTACCAAGTCGCCACTCAATCAACATATCAGGGAAAGACCTCAAGACATCACAAGACACCTCAAACATATTAACACTCAATAAATCAATCGTTTATAATATTGCTTACAGAATTCCGTAGATGAAAATTTCAAACATTCATCAATAACAATCACACTGCCATTTTATTCAGTTTTTTTTAATTATGCGAAGCAGTAAGTAGGTTGTTAATTACCAATGGATACTTGTTATATGGGCCCTCCAAAACTGTTGTAACATTCGTTGTTAAGAAAAAGTTTGCCCACCTCTGCACTATAGCCATTCGAGAAGTTTAAATTCTTTAAATTCTTCGATGCTAGACTAAATAACATATATGTGTAAATCAAATTCTAATACAATCGTATTCTAACTAATGCTCAAACCCACACATAACGTTAAATGAGACTCAGTTGAGGAGCTTGCACCGGTACACATAAAACCGTACAAATTAACAAAAGATAATAAATATAAAACAAGAATAAATATAACAAATAAAATATAAGATATTTACTTTGAATGATACTTAACAATTTTTGAAAATTCATCACGTCAACAAAACTTCATCTACATTCTTGATCCGTTCAACTGTTTCATCATAAAATGAAACCGCACTAAATTAAAACACAATCCGCGATTTCAAGTAGTGAGATTAAAAAATTCATGTTAATGTTAGTTGAAAAAAAACTTCAGTTCTTTATCAATACAATTTGGATACAGGCATCATAAAAATAAATGTTCGATTTAACTTTGCAGCGCATCTTCTTGAAGGCAAACAACTCACAACGACCTCAAGATGTAAAGTGATTTCAGATATAATATTAAATGGAAGATCAAAAACTGTAAATATTTTTATTTCTTTCATTTCAGATAAAATATTATCAGATATAATAATAATTTTTATTTCTTTCATTACTGATAAAATATTATCAGATATAATAATAATTTGTATTTCTTTCATTACTGATAAAATATTATCAGATATAATATTAATTTTTATTTCTTTCATTTCAGATAAAATATTAAACGAAAGATAAAAAAACGGTAAATATTTTTATTTCTTGAGCTGTTTATTTACAAAATACATAATTAAATATACGGTTTTTCAAACTAAGTGAAATAAATTAAAAATTAATAGTCGGCAACCGAATTACATGATAACATATTAATGATGAAAGTCAAGAGGGATGAACCGTCGTTGTCCGGTATATATGCCGTGATGTAATTCCAGAGATCACCTGTTTGCAAGGTTAGAAGACAATTGAATAAACTGAGAAACATGTAAACACTTCCACGTATACCCGATAATAAAGAAAACAAAAGATCCTCACCTACGGTCTTGTTATGTGCCACGAGTAACTGGTGAACGTGATGTAAACTTTCTGCTAAATTAGCATCACCAAACGTTAGAAAGAACATGTCTCTTCCGCACTCTGACGCTGACATCAACTGAATCAGTGCTGTTTTAAATGAAATGGAAAATTATTGGCGGGTCAGGTCAGTCGGTAGAAGTGCTGTGATTTGCGTTGTTGTTGCATGATAATCTGGTTCGAAAACTGTTCGTACGAAACTCACGTTATATCATACGCGGTGCTTGCACGTGCATATAAAATGTGTATGTACGTCGTGTGGTCGGTGTGGATGCTACAAACTTTGTACCACAAAAATTTTGTTTATAGAATGATATGTAGGCAGTTCTGCGCGAGTGTGTGTTGTGTGTGCGTGTATAAACTCTTTCATCAGATTTGTTAACTGACCTTTTAATTCAGGATTTCCTCTAAATGCTCCACACCCCCATTTCCCAGTAGCCACAGGAGCCAGATAGTTGCTGGCAGTGCACATGAATCCACAATATGACTGACATCAAATAAATGGTTGCATGAATTAAAATAAATAAACATTACCTGGTAAAAAGCTCCTACACAAAGTTATTATTTGTTAGATGCTTAAGAAACAATGTTTCGAACAAGTCTGGAAACTGGCGCCATTTGAACAATGGATTATCACAGCACCACAATTTCCTAGGCTAGAAAAATGTGGCTGCCTAACTTAAATATAGCATATTATAAATCTCAATTGATAGGCGAAATTGATTTGAAGTAAATACACTCTAACAGATGGCATAATAGTTATATAATTAGAAAATAATTAATAAAATTGAATCATGATGAAAAAAGAATACTTTATTAAGCTCTCTCAGTATGAGATTTTCGTCGAACTGATCTGCAGGTTTTCTGAATGGTAGGGCGTCTATCGCCACCAGCTCCTTTTCTCTTCTTCGCCAAGAATCACTGACGTTTTAAAAAAAATAGATTGGTAATTATCATCGACCCTATTTAAAAGTTAATAGGAAATGAAACAACCGGAAACGAAATTGATATGTTATTGTCGAAAATATTAAACAAAATTATTCTAAAAAAATATAAGTATAAGAAAATATTTTAAACGGTTAAATAACAAAAAATAAATATTCTAAAAACAAGCTAACAAACAAGCAAACAAAACAACAAATAAACAAAACCAAATGAACAAACAAACAAAACCAAGTTAAACAAATAAAACAACACACACACACACACACACACACACACACACACACACACACACACAGCGAACCGTGGAGTGCAGTCGACAAAATCTTCATGAAATCTGAAAGACTGCGCATAGCCCGTAAACGATGAATAAGTTTCAATTCCCTTAATGATCAGACACTCGTTAGGCAGGAGACATTCAGTAAGCAAGCAGGAGACGATGGCTTCAGGACATGTTATGAATCTGTTTTAGGAACAATGTTTCATTTTCTCACAATAGGATGTATCAAATGAATTGCTGTCAACATATACAGCGTCATTCTATTTCTGCATTGTTCAACGGTGTATCGTACATAAAGATTAAAAAAGGTTAAAGGTCTATTACACTCTTCTCAGAAACAGCATTGTACAAACTAGCATTGAAAAGGCGGGCATATTTTTCCATTCAGAATGGCGCTAATAACCACTGAGTCAACATGCCACCATCAAATTTATCAACAATTGATAATTTAATTAACTAATTGATCAACATATTTGCAATTATTAACGAGTGAACCAGAATTTTCTTCAGATCACCAAAAAAAGTAAAAACAATTTGTCCTAATTGAGAAAATTTTCCGAAGTTTTCTCGGCAAAATAATAAAGTGGAATGAAGTTCTGTAAAGACCAAACTCGTTTCTGGTTCAATACCTACATGGATATATGACACGCTCAAAAAACAGAAATCTCGAGAATTAGTACTTACGGAACTGACAATCTTCACTCTGATGATTTTTACCTTCGTGCTTTATAAAAGGGCAGTTGTAAAGTGCTAAAAATAATCATATTTTATCATTAATCATATTCCAACCTTATTTCTTCTTGAACGCAGCCAGTCCTCAAAACTCCTCCACCCAAGTATTTGTTTGCAAAGTCGACCTGCCACAAACAACAATGTCTTCATTATATTGATTCAAAAACTTAGGCGGCTCATTTGATAAAAAATATCAAAGTTGGTAACGTTCAAGCACCACAATTGAAATAACAAATATAACAAAGCCAAGACTGAAACAATTGTTACAACCAATCTTTGTGGAAACGTCAAAAAAAATAAGAAACAATAATGATCAACAATAGAGCGACATTACAACTAATTCATCACTTGAGTGCCTAATTAAATATAACAAGAATCAACACTGCATAACAAGGGGTTAGAAAAGAATAGTCAGAACAACATGAAGGAACCAACCTGGAGCATGCCCTCTCCGTCCTTTTCAATCAATCCTTCACTGGACACCAACATATCTCGCAGTGGGCTCTAGCAAACAAATTCAAAACAAGAAACTATTAAATAAAAACTTAATATGGTTAATTATTCAAGAAGTAAAAATTACGTAAACGATAATAAAGGCAAATGTAAGTAATGAAGAAAACCGTTGAATTTTTCCAGAAATCAATTGATGGGGGGTCGTCCAACACCTGACGAGTGAATGTCAACACGCCATCACCTTTGGAAACATTAATAACGGTTAAGCAAATTTTTCTGTCAACAGCACATCTCATCTAAATTGTTAAAACAGAATTTGGAGTGAGAGGTTATATCTGTATGGCTACGTGGAATATAAACTACCTCTATATAACAATTTTTTTTATGTCCCTTGGAATTATACATATAAAACGAAAATAAATCCTCTATCTGTAACGAACAAAATTTATACAAGTTAAGAAATATCCGACCAGCAAACATTCTATGAATTGATATGAGCAGTGTTTTTGTACTCCTTTAATTTCTTAGAACCATATTTATTATTTCCTGTTCTACTATTATAGTAATCTTTGTGAACTCTACCTCGATTAATTCCAGTGGAATCGGAATCATCGTTGCGTGGAACAAGGAAAAATTTTAACTTTTAAAATTTTAACTTTTTCAATTCTTTCATTGTGCATCGGTGCGCACAATTTTTGTAAAAAAAAATATTACACTGTGAAAAATATTGCCACCTATAAAAAAAAACCCACTCCGAGATCATTGAAACAAAAAATTGAGGAAATAAATGTAAGGAAGACGTCACCAACCAGCCTCCTGCCTGACAACTCTGCTGAAGTAGTTCACGATGCAGTGCAACTTCGATGACTGACTCAACCTTCGATCTCCGTGCGCTTTTTTGAACAAACTTGAAATTTTAGATTAAATAAAGTTATATCAATATTCATCAGATCTAATGTTAAAATCATTTCTTAAGCCAATAACATAAAAGAACGGAAACCCACAAAAATAATAACAGTTTATAATGTATGTTATTTAACATGTTAAATAAATACAAAAAAACTAGGTTAAACTGAAAAATCTAGGTTAGGTAATTAAGTAGAACAACAATGATCCAACAAATAAAAACCATAAATGTAAAAACATTTTTTAAAGTTGTCATTAATGAACGCAGAATTTCTTAGAACTTTTTATCACAGGACCTCGGATATCGGCCTCACATGCAAAACAGGCTTTAAATGCCAGAGACAGCATTCGAACCAGGTCAGCGTGTGATAACAACTCAAGGCATTACGGCTTTCCCTATCCAAGTTAACTTGCAGACTAACTGAAGCATATACACCTAAATAATAATCAGAAAACAGATAAAGTACCCAAAAAAATTGATTTCAGGAAAGTAATGTCCGTTGGAGGATGGAAACGTGCAGAAGAAAGCATTGGCCAGCAAGCAGGACGCTTGATGCTGAGACATGGAAACACTGGCACTCTTCAATCTTCTCAACAATGGGATGGGCTTCTCAGGAAATTTGAATTAAATTAAATTTTGGGTCATAATATTTATTCATTCACTTATTTATTCATTTATTTATTCCATCTGTTATTTACAAACAATAAAAAGAGATGTACCTTAGTGCATATGAACTCGGAATTGAGAACCAAATCAATCATTCCTGGCAAAATTTTTTCAAAAAATTCCACATGCATTTCTGAACTCATCTGAAAATTCATTAAAACCAAGCTACAATTAAATATATAGGACACAGATGATATGTTGATGTAAACTTAAACTGAAGCGCAAATTCATCAGCGAGGATTCCATGTGATAAAATCTGATGCAGTTTCAAATAGTGTCAGCTGAGGCAGAGTCAAACCAGTAAACGAAGTCTTCATTTACAGTAAACTTTTGAATTATTCAACAATCTTTTCAATTTAATAAACATAACTATTTATCAACATCAACTCAGGAATAAATTATAAAGATGTATTCCTGCCTCAGACAGTGCCAGCATTAGGGTGATGTAGAGACAATTAGATAACCCAACGATACCAAACTACTTACATTTATGCTGAAATAGCCTGAAAATTATAGCAAAAAGTAAATTGCCTCATCACAGTAATCGTGCAGAGTTGTGTAGTCGTGTGACTGTTTGTGGTACGTCTGAATTGCATCCTGTGTATATAAGTTTTCCATAAAAATTTTTCCAAAAAAATAAACACAAAACTCAACAAACAATAAAAACAATATCAACAGATTTCTGATAAATGAAATAAAAAACAACAACGTCCACAAACAAACTTATGAGAACATTTATGTACATGTATCTCATTGATAGACCAATAGCCTAAGCAGGAAAGCATACAACCTCTATGTCCCTGGAACTCTTAATGAAGATGTTTCGAAGTTTCTCAAGGGAGGACTTGATCACTTGCCATCTCATCACTTTTTCTGAATGACTATACCGATTGTGACTTTCATGCTTGCTGTCCACATGGGCACCACCCCCGTGCACGATCATGACATTGTCAGATGAGTAAGGCATCTTTACGTAATTGTAACGCTGCTGTTCATTTCCATCACCCATCCAATGGTCAGGATCTGGAGTGATGACATCATTGCCACTCACCTGATGTTCATTGGCAGTGAAGAAACTATTCAATTCATTCATTTCAATTTGATAATTCAATCAATTTAATTATAAACAGCATTATATTTGCAGCTATTAGTCAGAACTGATAATTTGATGATGGTAATTCAATTCTGATGCCAGCAAAAGCACACTGTCCAAATTTTGAGACATGAAAATGTAAAACCACCACATTCAATCAACTCAAAAAAGAATTAAAAATCATTTTGAAAATAAGTAAATTAAAATTGGAAATGCTGAAAAATATTTTTGAAAAATCCTGTAAATATTAAAATATTTTAATTATTAAAAAATGTCCTCCTCTATTGAACCACTTGAACCAATTGATTAGAAGATCATTAACAAATATATTTATTGACTTGAAAATACAAGCAGAACATTTACAACAACTTTCTGGAATTAAACATAAGTAGAAGCTGGTTAATTGAACCCGCTGAAATCGTTAGTCTCTTAGGGCCAAATAATCAAAAATGGAATTAAATAACATTCTGCATAACCTATTTAGTTCCCTCAATAAACTCTAACATGTTAGAGTAACTAAACAATTCTAACATTTTATTGACATTATACAAAATTGAATGGAAAGACCAACTGGTATTTTGAATAGAAATGTGTGTTCTGAGGTCTCCTTCATAGGCGGCAAATTCGGTTTTTCAACATTTTGAAATATTTTCAACTTTTCTCTGTCTATTGGAAAAGGTTTCTGTCTGGAAATTGTTTCAAAAATTATATGCAATAATCGATTTCAACTTTATTTATAAAATAATAATTAACTGCAAATCTTGAACATTCTTTAAAATTTTTGCACGATCTTTAGTACGGTGTTTCCTAGCAGATCTATTTTTGGATGTTGTCACAGAGTTCAAATGGATGTCAGATGAAGATGACAAGTTATTTGCTGATGATGTCAACAAATCAGTTGTAGGAGGATTATTAGCCTCATAACTACTTTCTGCTTTCTTCCCTCCCAACACAGCACCACTGGAATCGTTAATTTCATTTTTTATACTCAGATCTTCTAGCTGAGGCTCATTTTGTTGCAGAATTGAATCAAATTCTACTTCCATATCTTCTAGTTCATCTGATTTTAAAAAAATGTAAAACAATTTGAAAAATAATGTATATGTATAAACTAAAATTGTATATCATAGAAAAAAACACACTCATGCAAACAAATGTAAGAAAATAAAAAAATACCTGTATGAGAACTTGTGTTATCTTCTGCTTTTTGAGTAGTAAAATATTGGAAAATTTTTGTCTGTTTCATAACTGAAAAAGTTGGGGAACTTACTTCATATATAATTACATATTTCATAACATCTAGTTAGATGCCGCAAGAAAAGGTTTGGATTGTGAAATATCATAAAGGCCCTTCAATAAAAATTTTTACAACTACGCTGCTAACTTAACAGGCAACATTGCATAATAATTAATAATAATTAGACAGGCTAAAGAATAAACACATATATATATATTTATATAATTTCATACTATATTGAATTATATAATTAATTATATATCAAATCACATTATGCATCATAAAACAAAATTGTTATAAAAATATAAAAAGCATCATTGTATATCTTATATCAGTACAGTACATTATCACACACACATACAAAGACACACATACATACATACACTCAGCATTGCTTTTCATCATATTGTTAAGCAACCACTTACTTTTGATTTTCAAAAATAATATTTTTATATTTAACTTATTATATTTAGTCTTTTCGGCAAAACCGGAGTTTGGTCATGGGTTTTTCCAGAATTATTTATTTTTAGTTATTTGCTTAAAAATTAATTATGATTTAATTAAAATTTAATTCGATAATTAAATTTTATAAATCATATAGAGGCGGTATGTTGATGATGGATTCCGATAGCATAATTTTATTATTATTATTATTTAAAAATCAAAACCTGACAGACGCAGAAACTGTTAAAACATGCAAGGCAAATGATAATGGAAAATAAACAACGGAGTTAGAATTATAAAAAGCATGGAAAATAAAATAATGATTTATAAAAACAAATAAAAGATCCATTAATTAATTGACTAGTTAATGATTTATTAAGTTATGTATTCGTTATGAAAAAAGAATTAACAAAATTGAGCAAATAGTAAATATTTATTGAGTGTTAATATATTTAAGGTGTCCTGTGACAAAGGTGTATCCTATTAAGTTGAGTAACGACTTGGTAGTTATATTTATGATGACGAAGGTTGTGTGTAGCAGTTTTGATTGATGGTTGTATGAGACGATGGATGACGTGGTTGTTGTACGTTTCTACTTTCTTAAACAGTCGAGAATTGAGTATGTTGAATATTTGAGTGACGTATATTTGATGTGCGTTATAATGAGTGAGCGATTCAATGATGTGGAATAGTTTGATGCCTTTGAGACCATGTGCGCAGTGTTGTTGAGTGCCTCAAATATTTGAAAACCTTGTGATGATGTGATTAAAATGAGGTGCTACATTAAGTGTGGAGGTAAATGTAATGCCTAATATTTTTAATTGATTCGTGCGAGTGATTGATGGTTGCTCTGGAGATAATGCTAATCGAACGGATCTAAGGCAAAATTTCAACTCAGGATTTACAACAATTTACAAGTGGGGTTCCTCAAGGTTTGGTTTTGGGGCCTCTACTGTTTGTTGTTTATATCAACTACATTGACTTTGGCAAGGTATCAAAATGATCAAGATTTGCCGATGTCACGAGGTGTGTATAAAGGTCAATAACGATAAAGTTGCTAAAGTACTAAGACAGGAATTGGCAAGAATAGTCTAAAGATTAGTAGATGATATCTAATATAAATAAACGTCTACTGTATTTCACATGAGAACTACAATCAACAGACGAAGGTTTGGAGTTTACACTGCAAAAGGACAACGACATTCTGGAGAAGGTACAAGAGAGAGCAACGAAAACAACAAACATTTCTGCACTGCTTTACGGTTGTGAATCCTGGACTCCTTATCGTCGACTCGACACGTCAAAGCCCTCGAGGCCTTCCATGTTTGCTGTCTTCGCAGCATTCTTGAATAAGATAGTGGCACAAAATATACCTCTCACAGACATGTTTAAGACAGCATATACTACACTGGCCAAATATTTATTGTTACAACTACAGCTGCGCTGGATAGGTCATGTTATTTGTATGGCGGAGTCCCGTCTACCTCGTAGATTGTTATACAGCGAACTATCAAATGGCTGTCGTTCAGTCGGTCGGCCGAAGAAGCGATTCGTAGATCAAGTGAAAAACGTACTTCAGAAATGTAACATCTACATGGAAAAAGATTTGTAAAGCTGGTCTCACTAGTTTGATGCTGGAATGGACTAATGCTTCTTACAGGCGTCGGCTTATACACCCAATTGTGGTAAACTATGCCCATCAGATTTTGGATAAAAAAGTCATCTACGATCTCACAGAAGGCCGAATGTCACTTAAATTAGTGACATTTAAGTCCTCGCCGTTTTGGTGGACAACACAACACTGTAATTCACAGGAGAACTACAACCAGCAGACGAAGATAATGCACACATACAAATTAGTTACCGGTAAGAAGAAAAATCATTTACCAGAATAGAAAAAATTACAAGGTCACAGAACACAGAAAAAAGCTCTTTAGGAAGACAGGAAGACAAAAAGTCCAACCAAGCAAAGATTCTTCAGTAGCAGTATATTAACCCTTGAATGAGTTGAGTGATGAGACAGTCAATCAATCAGTTAGTTGTAAAGCGCTATTTACGCGATGTTCAACAGCTTTAAAATAATTGAGACATACATTAATCTGCAAATTTTACAAATTGTTCTATGTTTTATAGGAATGCAATGCAAGAGAAAATATGGAGATATATGAGAAAAGAAAGAGCCATACGAGCAACAGAGTTAAAAGCTTTATTTAAAGAATAGTGTAGAATCAAGAAAACCATAGCAGAGTGAGCTACAATAATCAATCCTAGATAAAAATAAAAAAGTTACAAGAATGTAAGGAGCAAGGTTGTCTATTCAACGTAGATAAAAGAATTTTTAGCAACACTATTAATCTAAGAAGAAAAAGCCATACTAGAATCAAAGGTAAAGCCTAGAATATGAAACTTGTGAGAAACATCAAGAATTTTAGAATCAGGTAAGATAATAGAAAGAATAGTAAGTGTTTAGATTTATTAGAACAAATTAATTCAAACTTAGAAAGACACATAGTCTAAGAAACGATAATTAAAAAAAGGGTTAGATTATGAATAACACTTTTGAGATTAGATGGAGAAAAAGAAATATAAAATATACGAATCATCAGTATAAAGTTGACTAGTAAAAGAAAAATTATTAATAATACGAGGTCTCCGTGAAATCAACCATCAGTTTCAAGATCAATCTCGAATTGCTTCTCTACTGAACCATTTTAAACCCAATTATGTTTTATTTTATGTAAGAGCAATGGTATATTTACTGTGCAGTTTAGTTAATGTCCATAAAGTTTACTTTTAATTACATGCACCTTCAAGATAAATAAATAAAGTAAATGTGGAACTCTAAATGTTTTTAGTCCTGTAGTTGTTGTCTGTGTGGAGGCCGTGTAAACGTTTCGTATCCATATTAAGTTTTAATTAATTAGTTAATTAATTATTTATTCATTGCTTCGGTCGGATTTTATAGCTAAAATTTTAAATTAAACTAAGTACAGTACACATGTTTATTTTTTAATTTTTATCTTCTATTATTTTAGATTGCCATTAAAAATTAAATTAATTTATTATTTTTTTCAATGAAAATTTATTAATTTTGATTTCTACTCTAATTTTAATTTTCAATAAATCAATCATTTGGATTGAATATATTATATATTATATTATAATTATAATATTTATAAAAGAATTGAATAACAAAAATGAAAAAGTAAAAGAAAAATTACAAAAAAATTGTATAATACAATGAACATGAAATAAATATATTTATTATAATATTATTAAAAATAATTTATTTGTAATATAATTTTGGAACAGCATGCATTATTTATGTTTTATTAGTGTAAATTTTACATTGTAAAACTAAATTTAATGTTCTTGCATTTATGACATAGGATAAGATTAGTCTACTCTACCTACCTCTACCATTCCATCTTGGCATCATTATCTGCCTTGTCATGCTTTGCTTGCATATTTGATGTGATACATAGGAGTAGCAATAGGGTTAGGTTACGTTAGGCATAGGAAGTTAGAATTATATTAGCCTATTAATTGGCAGAGCTTTTGATGTGAACATTTGTATCAGTGTAAGCAAGCATTCCATAAATATTAATATTCTCAATTAACCATAAATCTTTACTTTAACCATATGCAAGCAAACGAGACATAAAAAAGCAGGCCATGACAGTTTTTGCTTCATTTTACAACTTTAAATTTTTTTTTATTTCTAGGTTTTTAAATTTTAAACTTAAATTATTTAATTTTTTTTAATTTAATTTATTTAATTATTAATATTTAATAAAAAAGAATTTAAATTCAAGTTTTAAATTTGAGTGTGTATGCCAACGTTGATGTCAAATTCATTCATAATACCAACTATTGTTCTGACCAAAGTCCTGGTGTATGCATATGTTGCCATAACCAATCGAACAAGATATTCAGGAACATACTGTCCATGTAGACTCCATTCGATTGCCTTATGAGGCACTCTGTCAAAAGCTTTTTCTAGGTCCACAAAGACGTGAAATAAATGTTTTTGCTTTGTCAGATGTTTTTCCTGAAGAATGATGATATAGATCGCGTTGATAGTGGATCTTCATACTAAGATTAAATTAGTTGTGAATTATATAATATTGATGTGACTTCATTATCAAGACTTTTTCAGTGTATTGGTGAATATTGTTAGAATGAAGATTAAAGGAAACTTAGTAAGGATGATGTGCTGACAAAATAGTCATGATGGAGAGGAAACCAGTAAAGCAGAATAGGAAAGCTATCACACATAAAATTAAGTTTTTAAGATTATCATTTACTCAAATTGGGGCATTTTGGTGAAAATTTTTATAAAAGTGGATAAAGCTGAAATGCAGATGTGTACAAAAATTTATGGTATAGTATTGGAAGATAAGCTTAATAAATAAATAAATTTATCTGAACACATATTTTAGAAAGAGGTTGGAACATCTCATAACATACAAAAGTGGACCATCAGCCACGCAAATTGGTTTCTTCGCTGTCAAGCAACAACACCGAAGGCTATTCAAAAACGTCAAAGATATACCTGGCAAATCATGTGTCGCCCAACATAGACTTCTTGTGGCAGACCTGGTTGTCGAACTGTCAAAACATAAGTCTAAACAAATGCCTTGGAGAATCAAAACGTGGAAGCTGAAAAGCAATATTCATCAAGTAAAATTTCACGCTGCAACTACAGTTTGTGGGAAAACTAGTACAAAACGTCAGCATGAACGTGACACTTGGTGGTGGAATGACAGTGTACAAAATGCAATAGCTGAAAAGAAAGTTGCATACAAGCAATGGCAAAAATCAAAGTCTGTTGATGACCATAAAATTTTCCGTGAGAAGAACAACTATGCAAGACGTCAAGTTGCACTGGCTCGGACAGATCAGTGAAGAGAGTGGCTCGCTAAAAGCAAAGGTGAACAAATGAAATCTCTGTATCGTATAGCAAAACAAGCAAAGTGTACGAAAAAAGACATAGTTGGTGCCTCATGTATCAAAAACGACAAAAATGAGATGGTTCTTGAACAAGATGAGATCAAGCTACAGTGGAGAGAATACTTCAACCGTCTGTTAAACGAAACAAATCCCATCAATGTTAACTTTGACGCTCTACCCATCGAAGGTCCGATTCCAGACATCACTGTAGAGGAGCTTACAGAAGCTCTAAAAGTTATGAAGGATGGAAGGCAGCAGGGCCCTCTGGACTCACAAATGACATTATCAAAGCATCTGGTACTGCAGGTATTCAAACGTTACTACAACTTTGCCGTGAAATCTGGAGAAATAGCTCAATGCCGACTGAATGGAACTATAGCATGACAGTCCCGCTATACAAAGGCAAAGGTGATCCATTGAACTGTTCATCATATCGGGGTATACGTCTCCCTGAAAATTGTCGAAAAAATCATTGAGAGAAGATTAACGTCGTGCATCACAATCGGAAGTTATCAATTTGGTTTCCTAGCGGGGAAATCAACAATTGATGCAATTCACATTCTTCGGCAACTGCAAGAGAAGTACCTCGCAAAGCATCAACAACTATCACACATTTTTGTAGACCTTGAAAAAGCATTTGATCGAGTTCCCCGTGAATCAATCAGGTGGAGTCTTCGTCGACAACTCATTCCAGAATATCTTGTTCGACTTGTGATGGAAATGTATACGAATACTAAGACTCTTGTCAGCACAACGGTTGGAAACACAGATGCATTTGACATCGATTCTCAGTCCACTGTTATTTATAACTGTGATGGAAGAAATCACAAAACCGATACGCACTGGTGACATTTGGAATCTAGTATATGCTGATGATATCGTTTTAACAGCCACGTCTGAGCAGACTGCAGCACAGATGTTTGAAGATTGGAACACCAAACTCGCCGATCATGGATTCAAAGTCAACATCAGCAAAACCAAAGCATTGAACACTGGTGAACCCATCCAATCCACAGCTACTGGACGATGGCCCTGTTCAGTTTGTAAAGCTGGTGTAGGTAACAATTCAATCAAGTGTCAGCAGTGTAACCAGTGGTACTTTATCTAAAGTGTCCAATTTTGTTTGTCTTGCTTGCATCAATCCACAACAACAAATTCGAAATAGCACTGTTGTTGAAGCCATTAAAAAGCCATTAAAATAGAGAAAGTCACATCGTTTCAATATCTGGGGAATGTTCTGGATTGTACTGGAACAGCTGAAGCTGCCGTTCGAGCACGCATACGAGCAGCCTGGAATAAATGGCATCTCCTTGTCTCTATATTGATGCGGCGTGACATCCCACTACCACTACGATCAAGACTTTATAAATCTATGATACGTCCGGTGTTGTTATATGGTGCAGAAACATGGCCAATGACAACCAAACTGGAACAACAACTCCAACGAACCGACATGAAAATACTCCGATGGATGCAACGAATTAGTCTGAAGGACAACATCAAATCTACCGAAATCCTGCGTCGTGCTGGTTTAGATGATAAAAAGGACGAATGCCGGCAACACCGTCTGCGGTGGTTTAGTCATGTCAAACGGTGGAAACAGTGGCATAACTTCTCTTGCAGCTGTTGAAGTACCTGGCACACGTCCCAAAGGCCGTCCAAAGAAGTCCTAGTCGCAAACAATCGAGCGAGACATGAAAGCTCTAAATTTAAATGAAATGTATACAACTGATCGTCTAATTTGGCGCAAAAAGTTGATGGCAAAGAAAACAACGTCCTACCTCGGGAAACCGGGTCTCTGGACGCAAAACGAAGATTGATTGATTGAATGCATCCTTATTAATTGTTATTTATCAAATTATAATGTCGCATTGTAACTTAAATTTTATTTTTAATTTCAGTATGGACAAGAAATGCCTTGCATTTTTGGTAAGTTTATTCTTAATTGGCCTTTGCTGTCAACTGGTGATATCACTCGATACTTGTTCTTCCAAATCTGAACCATCTTGTTCTGCCAGTGAAGCAAAGCATAGAGATTTTTCGAAGACTAAACATATCAACATCATTTTTTTTGGGGCAACTGGAAATTTAGCAAAAAAATTTTTATGGAAATCTTTTTATGAGGTTATGGTAACTATGCTCATGATGTATATATATTATTTTTCGAAAATTTGTATAGCGCTAATTACAAACAAAATTTTTCTCAAAAGCACTGTCTAAAAAACACAGTTGAATTGCTACGATAAACCAAATCTTATAATGAAAACATAAATGATTTCAATAATTTCTTGAATGATTTTTCTGTCAGTTCGGGCTGTCTTAGATAACTTGGTAGACTATTCCAAACGGCTGGTCCACTTACTGAGAAACTTCTCTCCGCCATTTTCAATTTGGTTTGGGGCACACATAACAAGTTGCTATCATTAGACCTTAAGCAGATAGTTTTAAAAGACAGTTGTTTCGGTGCATGCATTTCTTTCAAATAAACTGGCGCTATTCCCATCATACATTTGAACATGATTGTAGATATTTTGAACAAAATTCTTTTTTTGACCATCAACCAGTGCAGTTCTCTGAATATTGGGGTAACATGGTCAAACTTTTTTGCACCAACCACGATCTTAGCTGCCCGATTCTGAATTGACTAAAGCACAGATAACGATTTTCAGGCAAACCATAAAATAGGCTGTTGCAGTAATCTAGTCTAGAATGAATAAACGAATGCAATAAACGTTGAATAACATCTTTGGTTAAGCTTTTGCGGATTATTTTTAATTTTCGCAGTTGTAGGGTTGCAATTCCAGATAAAAACTTGATATGTTCAGTCATTGCCAGTCTAGAATCAAAAATGACACCCAAGTTTGTAGCTTTGGGAATGAAGTTTATATTTGGGCCCTCAATGATAACTGAATTAATTTTAATTCTAGACAGCTGTTGCCAAGTAATCCAGTCCAGAAAAATTTGCGTCTTGCTTTGATTGAGCTTAAGACGATTATTTGCCATCCATTTTTCGATCTCGACCAAACATTTAACAAAACGATCAACTGCAAGATGAAAGTCGCTATACGATTCTGTGGCGAATAGCTGAATATCATCTACAAATGCATGACACTCCAAACCATGTAATCTGATTGCCTCAATAATTTCAGAGCTGTAAAGAATAAACAAGATCGGTCTGAGAACCGAGCCCTGTGGAACACCAAATCTTATCGTTTGAACCGAAGAGGTCTTATTCTTGTAGATTACCTGCTGAGTTCTGTCTGTTAAGTACGACCGAAACCATTGTTCGACTGAACCAGTTATTGCAAATCTATGGTTAAGACGTTTCAGAAGAATGCAATGGTCGACACAGTCAAATGCCGAACTCATATCTAAGAATCCAAGAAGAGATGGTTTGCTGTCGTTTATATTTTCATGCAACTTAGATAACACATGCAACAAAGCAGATTCGGTAACCTGACTGATATACCGGTAATAAGTTGTTTTTATCTAAGTGTTTCATAAGCTCCTTAGAAACTAATCTTTCAATTAATTTTGACAAGAACGACAGATTTGAAACCAGTCTATAATTATTAAGATCAGAATTGTCTAATTTTTCCTTTTTCAAAAGAGGAGAAATTGTAGCATGCTTTAACATAGCCGGAAACTCACCAGTACGTAAACATAAGTTTATAAAATCAGTCAAATATTTTGAAAACAATCCTACATATTTTTTAAAAAGTGTGAAGGAACACAATCCAGTGAACATGTTTTAGATGGAGAGTTCAAAACTGCATCAACAATTTCGCTTTCGTCATAAACAGGTAAAACTGAAAACAAGTTGCTGCAGCAGATACCAGATGAATGATTAAACTTCTCATCATACACCATCGATTCTCGTATATTTTTAATTTTGTTATAAAAGAATGTAGCAAAATCGTTCACTTCAAAATTGGTAGATGAATTTGAAGTTTTTTCCTTGCACAACAGTTTATTTACCACAGTCCAAAATTTTTTTTATTATTTTCAAAAAAGAATTTTTTATCCAAAACCAATTTTTTGATCGCAGAAAATTTTTCCGCACCTCCCTATCATGATGAATATATGATATATATATGTATATATATATATATATATATATATATATATATATATATATATATATATAATTTGGAACGAGGTTTTCGGATAAGCAGGTTTTATTAAAAATAATTCCCCAATTTGTTGTTATAACTTTTTTGAATAATAATTCAACACGCTATCATATATTTAGTGATAAAATATTGGAAATAATGAAAAATATATAGTATTGTTGGTGATAATGGTAATAGCCGGTTATAAAATATATTATGTATTATGTCCCGTATAATGGTGCCAGGGAATAATCCGCTCGAGATCGACGGCGTTCGGTCACAAATGGATGATCGATGGCGCAGTGGTGCGGTGTGGGCTTGTTGTACTCGTATTTGTTTTTGGTCGGAGTTTGTTTACTACCGTTCAAACGTTGCATATGATACACATTACGTCACCAGTGCGTATCGGTTTTCTGATTTCTTCCATCACAGTTATAAATTTCCATCTAAGTTCACTATGACAAAGTGAATATTTCCCTATATAAATTAAATTGCACTAATGACGATTCATTCGGAATCGAAATATGGCCTTATTTGCAGCATGAAATCGGAAAATAAGTTTATTTTGAATTTTAATAAATTAAACGTTCTCCAAAAAAATTTAATGAGAAAAATCGAAAAAACGAACACAAACA